CTCTTCCGAGGCACGGAAGGGCGTTAACAAACGTTAAATCTGTCGGGCTTTTTTGATCGATATTAGTCAGTCGACTGTCGCTGATTAAGCTAACGATTAATTAATCTTAAAGAATTAGCGTTTGCAATTCTGAAATTACTTGAATAAAGAAGGGCAATAGCGGTAGCCAGTTACGGTGGTAAATGTTGAGTAGTTTCTTTCGCGAGTTACGTGCGAGCAATTTTCATTACCTTTCCGCAAAGAACTTTTAAATAAGAAGGCTCGCGGCACAGCGTTGCATGGAAATTTGATTTTAAAAGTCGCTCGAGTCTCGTCCGAAGGTTACAAAACATTCCGCAATAGCGGAACCGCATTCCCCTTGGCCACGAAAACACATTGATTTTTACATGGATTTTAACACTCGTGTATTTTTACAATTATACACCCTCAAAGCGACATACTCAGATTCCATTGGATTCGCGTAAAGAGAGGAAAAGCGACACGTGCGCCCCTGAGCTCGAGACGAAAGGGGAAAGAATGCGTCACGATAAGGTCCGTCCCACAAACCTTAGAACGTTTAAACAAAAATGCAATAATGGCAAACTGTTTGCACGGCTTGTTGCAGTGTCGAAAGGAAATTCGCTTCCATGAACGGAAGAGAAGGAGAGAAAAGAAGGAAAGGAAAATAGGAATACGTGCCGCGAAGTCTTATCGGTCAGCCAATTAGCCTCGATTCATAAGTTTATTCGCCAATGGCACACGCATACGCGCACACAAACACGGCGCAAGCGCTGTTTGTGAGCCGATGCCGAATACGCGTGCGCGCTTGCATAAACAAATAAATTTGTAAGCACGTGTGGAGGTGATTCGACGCTGTTCCACTTACGAGGCGTTTTAATCATCGTGCGCTCGAGCGATTTCAGAGACACCGGAATCACGCGCAGCCGATAGCGCTTCCGGTGGTCCTAGTTGGCCATAGTCCGGGCCACGATATTTCCCACATTTCGTATTCCCCGTGGCCCCAGATTTCCTTCATTGCCATATCGGATTCACGACACTCGGTTTTATATTATTGGTGTCCGTTTTTTAAGAGCCGCAATTCGTAAGGCACACAGCCAGTTTACCAAGGACCACCCACCAATTCGAAATGGACGTTCGTCGATTGGGTCAAGTGAGTGACTATCGACAAATTAAAATAGTGCTTTAAGCGGATTAAAGAAGTGTTGCCGGGATGGTGGATGGTGGTGGGAGATGGGCAAGGGATTGGAAATTTTCAATGCGTCATAATTGTCTTGGGCGTATTATCGATTATGTATATGCATTTTCGAAGAAGACGATAATTCATCTCATACAGCATCTTATGCACAATTTGGAATATTAAGAATTATGCTTTGACATAAAGTCGCTAGAATATCGTCTCCTCCTTATTGAACTGTCAGACGAATAAAAGCCGAAGGCAAAATGTTATTAATGCATTGTTTAATTATTAATTTCTAGATATCCGTATCGACGAAAGATCGATACCGTCGATTCAAATGCAATCGACAACGAACGATTTTCATCGTATTAGAATTACACTCGTCGGCTAATATTATTAATTTGTTAGACGCAAGTATAATAAGCCAACGGTGATATTATTTTATTAAATGTCAGAATTACGCTACCAATAGAGCAAACTGAGAAGATTATTTTTATCGCGATTGATAAAATATTATTATATACGATATAGAATTATCATTGGCTTGCATCATCAATTGTCAATTGAGCAATGAAAAATTATAAGCGCTAATCAATGCTTTTCATTAAGAGCTAACTGACTTTCAACAAAATTCGTTCGTTTATTTATTAAAATGAAACTTATTTTATTTACATCGTTTACTGACATACACACACACACACACACACACACACACGCGCGCGCGCGCGCGTAATTCGTATTCGCATTCGTATTCGTAATTTTTTTCATTAATATATACAATTTTACGTAAAATATATATTCGTATCAAATAAATCGTAATGTAAAAAATAAAAGAAAACATAATAATATTTCAATGGCGTTTAAATGATAAAGCAGGATTTTAAGTGCCAGTTTATTGCACAACATTATTGTTAGTAAAAATTTTATGTTCGATGTGCAATGTAACACGTAAAAAAATCATAGCGTCTTAAGGGGTAAAAGAACATTTTCACTCAATCATTTAGAGATAATAAATAAATTCTTTCGTGTACTATAAACTTGCAATGGGATTATCTATCATTCGAATATAATAATAAGAACATATAGAACAATAACACCGGAAGAATGATGAAATATTATGGCGATTATATCGATTTCGATATGCTGTTAATGAGTTTCGGAAGTTTCCAGTTAACGGCGCGAATATTTTTTTTTTTAAAAAAAAAAGAAGCTTCGATTTAGCAAAAGCTCGACTCGTCATTTAAACGAGATAAAAATTCCCATCCGAGATTTACGTTCGCTCGGATTAGCGTTTCGAAGATTTTTCACGCAAGCACTTGTTGCTTACCTCGCTAAAAGCTCTCTTGAAAATAAGAAAGATGGAGCTTGCGCGTTAATAAGCCAAATGCTAATGGCCAAAGCTATGAAAATTGTAAATTTTACTTTGTCGCCAGATGTAATAGGACTTCGTCTGGCCGAATGTGCGCGTGTTTCGTCGACCACGTGACGGATGCTACAGCAAGACGCGACTCAAATCATCTCAAGCAACGCGCTAAGTGAGCATGACGTTGACGGTCGAGGTGTAGGATAATGGCCCCAAGTCCTACTATAGAAATGAAATTTCCCACGTCGTAATTAGTCGACTTAAGCGACGTCGACTGCAATTACTTTTGTCATTTACATTTCTTTTATCAACGTAGGACCTTTCTCTTCGAATCTTTAGGATCGGATGATATTTTAGATTATTGCGAATTTAAAGATGATTTTTAGCTTTTTCGTCGACGTGATTGGGAATGGGGCTTCTCCATAATACTGACGGAGAAATGAAATTTTACATTAAAGAATTTTACTCTACATATTACAGTAGAAAAATATCATTCTCCTTTTCGGTTCATTGCGCTTGTATTTGTCAGGGGACTGCCTCTTTCATTTCGATTCCGTTCGCTCATATTTTTATTTATAATAATTATTATTGCTACTTTCGATTACACAAAGATTTCGTAACTTTACTATTGTTTATCACGTTTAACGATGTATTGGACGAAAGGGTCATTGGAATTGTTAGAACAAGAAATTGTCTTGGAAAAGTTGAATTTAATGTGACAGTCTTTTCGAACAACGAAACAGTACAAAGTCATTTTATGACAATAATGTGATATATATCCAATAATGTGACGGAGTCGTACGATCGTATTGTCTTATTTCATTATACTTGGCAATTTATGAATTGCAACAACTTTGCGCCTGTCCATGATAATGGATAATAGCGATTTTTGAAAATCACGAGTCATTTTATTCTTAACCACCATATTCGCAATCGCGATAAGTGCCGGATTTTAATGAAGTTAAATTAATGATATTTTGTTTAATTTTTATAGTGTTTATAAAATTCTTTTGCCCCCAAAACAAACAATCCCTACAAAGTAATTATTTGAAAATGCTAATCTTCGATTTATGAGATACTTAAAATTGCTACAGCAATTAAGGATAAATAATTTACAATTAATTTATTGGATTTAATTGATTAAAAACTATCAATTGACGTAATCCCGTTGTAGTCCCGGCTTTTTTCCCTTTTATTGAGTTTCCTCTTGACAAATAGTTTTGGTGACATGACTAGGAAGAATAAAATGATGCAAGCTTTTCATAAATTAAAAAAAAAAAAAAAAAAAAAAGATAATTTTACAGAAGAATAAGAAGAACTATTATGGTTTCTTAATTGCTGATCATTGGATCGTAAAAGATTCTATAAAACATTTTATTGGTTCATATTATGATCACATTTTATTGTTTATTGGAAAATAATGGGAATAACGATAATATCGGGAGAAAATTATTTGAATAAAATGCCTGGCTGGGATGAACGATGTTTCGCACCGATTTTTAGGGAAACGACGAAGCCGAGTCATATTTACCAATAATATCATCTTTGAGAGAAAAGTGACGAAATGTTTTATACATCCCTCCCGCCCCTCGACCGCCCGACTATGCACGCATCATAAATGCACCCCAAAGCTTGATGGGACGCGAGCTTCGCGTGAGAAAATGTACGTACTGCATATATATATATATATATATATATATATGCGTGCGTGCGCGCGAAATATATCGCAGTAGGACTAGAGCTGGGCATATATATATATATATATATATATATATATATTTATTGAATCTACGCGGAAATGCTTTATTCATGTTCAACACTTTCTCATCGAGGTTATAATTTTTTAATTCTTTCAATTTTTTGTTTTTCTTCTCTTTTTTTTCTTGCCTTGTTGTAATTCTCTAAAAGAAATAGAACAGGGAGAAAAAGGCCATGAGAAACGGGAATTAATTAGAATGAAATAAAGAAAGAAAAAAGAAAAAAAAAGAAGAAGAAAAACGCACGCATAATTCATAAGTCACAATAATTTTCTTAAGAAAATTCTTATAATTTGCACTAGCATATATCGTGTTATAATACTTAGGTTATGTCTTGTTCGATGATTTCTCCAGTGATTGGAAAATCAATATATAACACAAACTCGAATTTGCCAAGGAATTTGATTATTATACTTGCATTGAAACTGCAATGATACTTGCTGGATCAATTTACAGCGATGATTGCTCTTGATCAGAGAACGTACGTTCCATTATAAAACGTCTCTTTAAAAACATACGACGTCGATGCGCACGAATCTTGAACGTGTCATGAAAAATCACAGATGTAGCTAAGCTTGCGCTTGCACCACTACGGCATTAACGCCGTAATGTTTAATAAATTTACTATAATGTAAATGTGCTCACTGGTCGTATATGAGCTTTTAACTGTAAGAGACAGTGAGTGTGCACGTAAGCCCGAGCACTCGATATCGTTTACGTTGTCCTATAAAACCAAGTCCTTCCAACGGCGAAGCTTGCGCGAAAATCCGTCTTCGCCCAAGCAAAATGAATCCACATTCTACACGCTACAGGACTCCCCCCCCCCTCCCTCCCCACTCTAATTCTCTTTGCCTCTTGAGAATTATGCCCGTAATATGAAACGACGTCGGGATGGCGGATAATCTACTCCATCATATTCATTAGAAGAGGCTGGATAGCCGGACGGTCCATGACACGCCAACCTCCTCGAGCTAACAACTCGCAACTGAAACTCAATCGCCGCCAAAACGTCCAACTTACCCGATAAATCGAAAAGCGGCAGCTCCTAAGCTGGAAGCGATAATCCGATCAATCGCAATGCAGCCAAGTCGCAGCCCTCGATCCTCCTCCTCCTCCTCCTCCTTCTTGAGTTTCCCTCTCCTTTTTCTGCTCTGCTGCTACTGCTGCGACTGCTACTGCTGCGACTGCTGCTGCTGCTGCTGCTCCTTCTTCTCTTCCTCGTGGGTACTATTCGGCGCGGAGTGCTGCACCTTAAACGACGAGTAAAGTCTCCAAGTTCGCCCGCGTTCCTGCGCGTCTTGCGGCTTTGTCAACAAGCTCAGACTATACTGCCGCCAAACTACGATCAATATTTCACTCAACACGCGCGCCAAATCCGCGTCTACTGCTGCGCTCTTGAACACTGCTCGTGTCCTCCACGTAGTCGTCGTCGTTGTCGTCGTCGTCGTCGTCGTCGTCGTCGTCGTCGTCGTCGTCGTCGTCGTCGTCGTCGTCGCCGTCGTTGTCACCGTCACCGTCACCGCCGTACGTTTCTATTGATCGGCGCCTTGGAACCCGAGCGCTCGATTCACTCTCTCTCTCTCTCTCTCTCTCCCTCCCTCCCGCTCAGCCGCCCCGATAAATCACTTCGGATGGTGGGCAACGGAGAGACCTTTCACACACTCGATCGGACTTCCTGCAGACCGAGCATTCTGGCTTCCTCGCGATTACTGACTCTTGGACCGCGTCACTCGGCCACGGCAGCGAGATTATTCATCACGAGCTCTAGATCACGGCTGCTCGGCGATTTAGAGCTTATCGACCAATGCACCTCGTCCACGCGAATGACCAAATCGGCGAGCCGAGTTACCGACGAGCCAAGTCTTTCGGATTATCGACCGACGACCCACGGCCGACTTTACTGGAGTTGCAGACATCCGTGCAAAGTCGGTGGTGGTAAGCTTTAATCGATCGGGCTGGAAAGCTGCGGCAGAGCTTTAGCCACGCGTTATTCGAAAGTCTGCTTTCACCGCGCGATAATTCGTTGCTAAATTATCACGAGCAATTTGCAAAGACGAGCGTGACACAAGCGATATTCGTCCTTATAAATCAATTAATTCATCGAGACGGATAATGATGATATGTGGCGATGGGCCTTAGGCCCTAAAACCATGAAATATTACTCAGTAGGAAGAGTTTCTGTTCCCGGGGACTTACTTATTCGCTTACCAAAGGTGAGACACTTCGCGGCGCCTAACGTTCACCACGAGTTCGCCATGCAGTCCGTTATTAAATGATCCACGCAGCCACTTTAACTACGTCATAATTTCTGGAAACCAAAGGTTCGACCCCGTCTCCCCTCACCCTCTTTGACGAACTCGGCACGCGCGGTCCTAAATTTATCAGCCCTTCGCCTCGGCTACGACTGCGACGGCCTTGTAACTCGCGTGTAAGGTGTGCGTAGGCATTATCGGTCGGCGTGTGACCGGTATCGCGTACTCTTCTGCACTGCGATCGTATGCCTTAGGCTTTTCGTCAGTCGCGTGGACGTTCACCGACGTCGGTAGGATAAAAAGAAAAAAGAAAAAAAAAAGCGCAAATTAATGGTTAGTTGTTGCCTTAAGGTTCGAAGGCTCGGCCTCGCCGAACGAAAATCCATGTGTAATCGTTTGTAGTGCCGATGGTGAGGTTCGGTCGCCGATCGAGACAATAACAATCGTGGGACGATATGTTTTTAGGATGAGACGTGATAGGGACAACAAATGATTCGTGCCTCTGTAAGATTCAGGGAGAAGCGCGATGATTTTGCAATCTCAAGCTTGTCGGATCTCAATGGAAAGTCAGCAAAGAAAAAAAAAAGAAAGAAAGAAAAAGTTCTCTTTTCTTATCTCTTTTTGCCTCGATCAACGATTAATAACTAAAAATTACGATTTTTTATCTCTTCATATTATTGAATTGTCGATGAAAGCGTGTAATTGTGAATGAAAGGAATGAATGATTAAATTATTAACTATTTAAGTTAAACTTTAGATTCTTTTGACGTTGGACTGATATGGCTTTTAAGAGAAAGTAGTTGTTAACGAACGGAAAGATTTATCAGACTGATTATTCGGGCGTATTTTAATTATAAATGCAACGCTATCGCGTACTCGGTAATGCATACGTGACATTTAAATACAAATCATGTTGAATTAACGAGTAATTTTCATGCGAGTAGTTGCCTTACGTATAAATATAATTGTTGTAGGTAGCGAATTATTTCTTTTTTCTTTTTTTTAACAACGCTCTGTCGTTTAATGAAGTTAACGCGAAGGAAGAGAAGCAAAGCGAATACCCCTCCTTTCTGCCGCAGTCGTTAATAAATCTCTGTAATACAGTGAAAAATGTAGATTTTACGTAGCATTTAAGAAATAAAAATAACGATACACGATTAAATAAATTTGATTGCCAAGCAAACGTACAATGATCGAATAATGACAAAGATATTTCATTGCTCGACTCGTAGATAATTTTGCTTTCGTTGAATCAAGAAGGTAAGGTTCGTTCCCCTTAATACACAATAATAATCAACATTGGCAGTTGATTTTTTTTTTTTTTTTTTTTTTTTTTTTTTTTTTTTAATTAATTTCCTCAGATCTGGATTAAAAGAAAAATTCAACATACGAAGATGGGAGGGAGTATTTTACATCCTTTCTCTCTCTCTCTCTCTCTCTCTCTCTCTCTCTCTCTCTCTCGTTCATTAATCATTAGTAATCATTAAAAAAAATAGAGAGGCAAAGAAATCTATACGATTTTAGAAGAAGAGAAAAAGAAGATAATGTGCATTTTAATGTATAATATTTTACATTTATAAGATATATTTACACGAGAGCCAATTATATATGTACAGGGCTAGCGAGGGGATTCTTAATCTTCTTAATTATTGTACAGGCCCCATCGTCGTTAGGTCTTATCTTTCTTAATGATCCATCATTTCAACGATGATTTTGTGATCGTTAGCCAAAGCCAATCCAGACTTCGGTCCCTTTTTCACGTAGGTTAACGTGGAGTACGCTGAGAAATGAAAATCCTCTTGCAAGTAGCCATTGATTAAAAGATGCCCAACAATGGCTTCACCAATTTCCCGGGGAAACTTAGGTGTGGGCACGCCGGCTACCCTCAGTGCCGCCGCACCCTTATTATACCAGGCATCGATCAATTTCAACGGAGTCAATTTCTGCTCACCCTGCGCGGCATTGGCTATTATCTGATAAAGATGCCTGCAGTAAGGCCCTATATCCAGCTCCTTTTTTTGTTGAGACTTTAAGCAATGGTCGCACATCTCCTTGCAGTCACTCTTCGTCCACGTCTCCTCGAAATGCGTGGCAATGAGGCTCCGCCTGCACGAGGTCCGATCGAGGCAATAGGCTAGTATTTTATAGAGATTTTGTAGACCCACCTTGTCTTGAAATACCATCGTACTGAGCTTAAAAACGTCCATGAGCCGATAAAGGAGTATGCAGGTCGACTTTTTACCGTCGCGTCCTGCTCTACCGCTCTCTTGATAAAAGTTCTCCATGGATTTGGAAATGCAGTGGTGAATGACGAATCGCACATCCGGTTTGTCGATGCCCAAGCCAAATGCTATTGTCGCTACGACGGCTTGATATTCGCCGGTTATCCACTTTGAATATACTTTTGTTCGGTGCTCGGCTTCGAGCATCGCGTGATAACAGCCAACTTTTAATCCGTGGCCCCTCAAATCGGCCTTCAATTGCTCGGACTCTTTGATCGTTGTTGTATAAATGATTCCCGACTTTCCTGAAAACCTGCAAAATCAACGTTTAATTAAACTTTAATTTCCAATTCGGCCCAACGTTATTGCATCAATAAACAAGAAATTGTTTATTAAATTACAATGAAATGGAAGAAAAATTCAGCCTAACAAGCATTGGTTGCCAATGGTTGCCAATGGTTGCCAATGGTTGCCAATGGGAGTATACCAACCGAGTGCAATTGGCTCGTTAAATTACCGATTGCCAATGTGCCAATGGTTGCCAATGGTTGCCAATGCTTAATTACACGAGTATACCAACCGAGTGCAATTGGCTCGTTAAATTACCGATTTTTCAAAAGATTAACGATCATTTCTGTACATTTGTCTTTATCCGACAGCTTACGACGCACTTCATAAAACAGATTTGGCCTATTAAATGATGCTCGAAGCACAAGACAACCTTGAATATCCAGCATCTTTTGAACGTCGACTATGATTTTTGCTGGTGCTGTTGCGGTGAGGCCGAGAATCGGGATTCCAGGAAACATCGTCTTCAAAATCCCCAAGAACTTGTAGTCGGGCCTGAAATCGTGACCCCATTGACTGCAGCAATGAACCTCGTCTATGGCGAAGCGATCTAATCTTTTCATTTCAAAAGCCTTTTGCAACTTACTCATAAAGCGATTCGACTTGGCCATATATTCTGGCGTTACGTATACCAATCGTAAATCAGACTTATTGTCTATTAATCCCATCATTATTGTTTTAACGTCTTCCTTTGGAGCCTTTGAATTCAACATCATAGCATTCACTTTCAGTCTGTGTAAGCCGTAAAGTTGATCTTCCATTAAAGCAACCAACGGAGATACTACGATCGTAATACCTTTGCTTATTACAGCAGGCAACTGATAGCACAAGCTTTTCCCTCCGCCCGTTGGCATTACAAGAATGATATCTTCATTTGATAGAAAAGCATTCATCGTTTGTAGTTGCAAGGGCCTGAGTCGATCGATTTTAAAAACATCGATTAAGGATCTTTTGAGACTCGTTGACCAAGAAAAATTCTCTGTATTCCAATTTTTCTTCGCCAGACTGTAACTTTTTTTAAGCAACGCATTGTCCTTTAATTTTTGCTTCCTATCGATCAAAACTTTTTTACGGTCTGTCAGCTTCTGGCATTCGCATTCTATTTGCCTTAGCTCGTAATCGATAGCCGCTAATTCGTCCTCTTCTGTCACTATAAATGTATTACGAAACAATATTAATCTATGGATAAAAATTTGACAAATTTAATTGATAAATGGCTCGTTATTTCAGCACGATACAAAATTGATGGGAAAAGAGCAAATACTCTCCATGATTTTGATAATACAAAAATTAAAATTTTTCGATTCTAACATTACCTTAATATTATATTTATCTTAGAAATGGCAATTCTATACATGCTTCAGCTTATTGATTAAATGATGTAAATAGCGTCGATAATAATAGATCCTTTGCTTATTAAAATTATTGACATACCTTTAATTTATTAAAAATTAAAAAAAAGTGATTCTTTAATATTCGATAGTATTTCTCATATGTATTTATAAAATTCAAAAGGTTTAGCTATAATTGTTTCATTATTTATTCAATTACAAACAATCCGGAATATTAAAATAATTGAATTAAAGTCGTGAATATTAAACCTTCGTAATCTCCGTTGTCAATATTTTTATAACTGCTGCTAGCAAACATTATATTAAATTTCTAAAATTTGCAAAACTTTTAAAAACACTCCACACTTGTGCTTATAATTTTATAGTCTCATTGTCATCTTTGAGGTTATGCTGTTTTCTCATTACAGTGGCTACTATTGGCAGTGAGATAAAATTTTTAATAAACAAGCAAATTTCGTTGCTATTTATCATCAACATTTTTCAGCTTTTTAACATTTGGAAGTAAGCTGATTTTTAAAATATAGCTAATGCATTTGTTTTTAAAAAGATTTTGAATTTTTAATAATTGTTTTTACATTGATAAAATTAAAGATACAATTTCTTTTGATTGAAAAATGTTAAAAATTGCATTATCACTATTTCCATCAGAATCAAAAAATAGATTATATTCTATTTGCTCTAAGGGTATATGCGATTATACGTCTTTAACTGTTATATAATGTCATTATAATAATTCATTATTATTTTTAATAAGATTCAAATGTTCAAATTATGATTTCATTATTTTAGCAAAACTCATTTCACCGTGTAAGTTCTCTACTATTTGTTCTGAGAAAAAACCCCCGAAGAAAATGTTAGTCAAAGTATTGCCAGCCCTTCAAGATAACTTAATGTATATTGCAAGTACCAATTTATAAGTTGTATTACAGACATTTATTTACAGATTGCAATCGAGCACACATATTTGCATGTTCATTTATCGATTATTTCAACATAAAAGAAACATTGTTTATAAATTTTAAATAACTTTGACATTTTAATTAATGTCCTCTAAGATTCTTTATTATATCTACAATGAAGAAAAATCTATGTAATAACGAATATTTCTGTATTTATTTTATTAGATCATTGATAAGGAAACAAACACGGCCGCAGTTATTGATCCCATTAATCCAAATGTAGTAATTAACGTAATTAAAAAGTTGAAATGTAAGCTGACAACTGCGCTAATCACGCATCATCACTGGGATCACGCAGGCGGAAATAAACAATTAAAGTATTTAATTCCACAGTTGAGTATATATGGCAAAGATGAGAGGATCGAAGGATTGACCTGTCAAATCGATGACCAGCATGTAATTACATTAGGAAATTTGAATATTAACTGCTTACATACACCTTGTCATACTGCTGGAGATATCAGTTATTACGTAACTAAGGAAGGCTATAATCCAGTACTTTTCACTGGTAACGAATTTGGAGTTTTATCTATAAGAATCAAGAGTAATTAGGATGAAAAGTTTAAAAGTATTAATTTTCATATTAGGTGATACGCTGTTTGTTGGAGGATGTGGTAAATTTTTTGAAGGAACTGCCGAAGATATGTATAACAATCTTATTGGAATTTTTTCAAAACTTCCCGATGAAACAGTAACATAATCCAATATATTATATAATATGTTTTCGTATAAATTTTTAAGAACTGTTTCTATAAAACTGCTTAAGATCTTAGAAATTTTATCATTAATATTATAAGTATTTATATTATTTTGCAGCAAATTTACTGTGGACACGAATATACTGTTGAGAATCTTAAATTTGGGATTCACGTAGAGCCAGATAATGAATCATCTAAGGAAAAACTTATATGGGCTTCTAAGCAACAAAAGCAGTTACTTTATACCGTACCAAGTACCATTGAGTCTGAAAAATTAACGAATCCATTTATGAGGGTGTGCGAGGAAAGAGTTCAACAATTTGCTAACAAGTCTGATCCGATTCAAGTAATGGCATACTTAAGGGAAAAAAAGAATGCTTTCAAATCTGATGATGTTAAAAAAAACTAAAAACTAATATGAATATTTCCTTTTATACAATTGTTCCCTTGGTATATTCAATTAGTACTGTGAAAGCTTTAAAATATGTAAAATTGTATCATTAAATATTGGAATAAAATCTATTGTTTTTGGTTTTCTTAATTGCCTGTGTATATACAGTACATGCGTTAATAATTTATTAATTAAGTGATATGGCTCCATTATAATATAATACAAACGGAATGATTTATTTATCTGGATATAAGATTAAAAAAATTTATAAATATTGTTCTTTACTTTTTATTTTGTAGTACACAAATAGAACATTATATAGAGGTTAAAAGATTATTTTGTATACACCAAGTTTAAATATAAAGTTTAATGACAAAGTACAAGGTTAAAAAGTGACTTTGACACCTGTAATATGACAATGAGGCAACGTTTTTTTTCGGTTTATCAAAGGGTATAAGTTCAATCGCGATTAATATTACAGTATAATGTGTTTTTATTAACTTGTTCGACTTGTTGATTCATCGTTTAATTCGCGACAATTTATTTTTTAATTAAAAACGTTGCATGGACACATTGACAGATATAATTGGCAAATTTAACGAAATAATTTGTCTTATTGTCATTATGTGCTTATTGATATATTAATTTTATCGAAGCAGATAAATTATATTACTTTAATTTAAAATGGCTAACGATCAAATAATCTTTAACCCAACAGGTTTGTAGCTTTAAGTAACACACGTGCACCAAGTATTTTAATTTTAATTTTAATTTAAAATTTGTTTAATACCTAATGCAGAACATCAGCACATAAGATTTAATCCTTTAAAGGACGATTGGGTTTTAATTTCACCTCACAGAATGAAACGTCCTTGGGGAGGACAATTAGAATCTAACAACTATGAAGATCCACCAGAGTATGATCCACACAATCCGCTTTGTCCTGGAAATGTTCGAGCTAATGGACAGGTTTTCTATATGATAAATTATTTTTAAAATAGTTTTGTACAATTGTTTAAATTGTGTTGATAGTGAAAATTTATGAGAATTGTATAAGTGCTCGAAAGTAATTATAAATTGGTGCCATAGAGAGAAGAGTAATTTGGCCAAGCGATTTTTGTATTTCCATGTGCAGATTATTTATTTATTTAAATTTATTAATATTAGAATAATTGTCGTATTTGTTTAAGATAATTGGTATTTTTTATAAACTTATAACATATTTATTTTAAAGAAATGCAAATATTAATGTTAGCGTTGGATAGTTTATTAATTGTTAATAAATAATAATATAATGACTTTTATCATTTTTATTTCTTTAATTCTCAATTGTACGTGGTGGTATATACAAGGAAGAAAACAAAATACATGTTAGTGTTTAATGTAGGTTGTAATTATAGGTAACTCCCAAATATGACCAGACTTATTCATTTATAAATGATTTTCCTGCCTTACTGGAAAATGTGCCAAGTCCCCCAGAATCCGACGATGAATTATTTCAAATCGAGAGTGCAAAAGGTACTTGTAAAGTAATGTGCTTTCACCCAAAATCTAATGTGACCATTGCTATTATGAAAGTATCCGAAATACAAGAAGTCATAAAACAGTAAGTAATTATTTTATTATTTTACAAACTCTGCTTTGTTTCATTAAAATATCCTATTATTGTTGTAATAAGATGGATAAATGAAATGATGGAATTAGGAAAAAAGTGGACTTGGATACAGATTTTTGAAAACAGAGGTGCTTTAATGGGATGTAGTAACGCTCATCCACACTGCCAAATTTGGAGCAGTTCTTTTTTGCCTAATGAACCTAAAATAAAAGATAAAAATCTAAAGGACTATTACAATCGTCATCAATCACCGATGTTATTTGATTATATGAAGAAAGAACTTGGCAAAAGAGTTTGTATTTACAAGATTAATGCAATTGCAACGGTATTTATAATTTGAATGTAGATTTAAAAAATTTCCCTTTTAGGAAAGAATAGTACTTCACACCGTCGATTGGCTAGTTGTCGTTCCTTATTGGGCAGTCTGGCCTTATGAAACAATGATTTTGCCAAAAAGACAACTGTCAAGAATGCAAGATCTGACGGATAAAGAACAATGTTCACTCTCTGCAGTAATGAAGGTTTTGTGTATTAAATACGACAATTTGTTTAAATGCTCATTTCCATATTCTATGGGTTGGCACGGTAAGAGCGAAATCATAATACTTTTCATTATTTTAAAACTATCAAATTTTGCGATTATAAAAGATAACTTGAATGCAGTTACGAGTCACTATTCTTTGCAAGTTCATTAATTTATTCTGAATTGTGTTAAAGTCATCAAGAATAAGTGGTTTCAATATTTCATTACTGTTTTCTTAATAATACGTTTCTACACAAGTAATCAAAAAAAATTTTATTTCTAATGCAATTTGTCACCGGTTCGTTCATCAAGAGTCTTAAATTTATCGATTCATTTTAATTTCATCATTCGACCTATTATAAATTCAGTAATCTCCATGTATATTATTCCGTAATAAAGGCGCGCCCACTGGTCCTAAATTAACAGAAGATTGTAGCCATTGGACTTTTCATGGGATATATTTGCCTCCATTACTTCGCTCGGCAACTGTGAAGAAACACATGGTAGGATACGAGCTGTTAGCTCAAACTCAAAGAGATTTAACTCCCGAACAAGCAGCTACTACACTGCGAAGTTTACCTTCGGTTCATTACAACTATCCAGAAACTAGCTTAACACAAGAAGAATTAACAAAGTATATATGAGAATATCATTGAAATTTAATATTACATGAAATATATATGATATATGTATTATACACTATTAGTTTATAGTTAAATATTTACAGAATTGTACAAAGTGTAATATACAATTATTGTTGTATAATATTGATTATTAATAAATGGGAAACTCAGGATCTATGTCGTGCGACCATGCATGGAGTCCTCCAATTATATCCTTCACTTGAATGTCAGAATTTGTAAAATAATTTTTCAATGCTCTCACAGCTTTTTGAGAATCATTTCCACGACGACATAAGACATAAACTAAAATTAAAATCAATATCGCTTTGAATTGAAATAAAATTAATTGACTGTGGATAACATAATGATAACATAATGATAGATTTGAATTTGAAAATTACCATTGGATATATCCGTTTCATTTTTATTAATTTCCTTTTTTAAAGCGTCTAAGCACCCTTTGCTACTTAATGTTGAAAATGGAATGTTTATTGAATTCTTCAAATGGCACATTTCATATTCTTGGTTGGATCTTATGTCTATTAAAATAAATGGTTTCAAAGGAGTATGAGATAGCTCATTATATTCATTGACGCTAATTCTTTCGTTTGCAGTTAATATTTTCAAATTTTGATGCTTATCATTGGCTTTGCTACCACAAAATTCTTCATAATCGATTAATGTCTGTATCGTAGGATTACGACCACAGACTTCACAATCTTGATTTTTTGATCTTAACTTTAAGTTTTTAAATGTCATGTCCATTCCATCGAATATCAGAAGCCGTCCAGAAAGAATACCAGGTAATTTTAATATTACTTTTATGGTTTGAAGTGCTTGCATCACACCGATTGTTCCAACAACTATGAATAAAAAAAAAAAGATTGTACAAATCTTATACAAAAAATAGTAGGTATATGATTACCAGCTCCAAGAACTCCGCTATCACTGCAATTGTTAACCGCTTCAGGTGGCGGTGGTTTTGGAAAAATACATCTGTAGCATGGACCTGCATAATTGTAAACAGTCAGTTGACCTTCGAACTGCAGCGCAGATCCAGAAATCAATGGTTTTCCACTAATGACGCATGCATCGTTTAATAAATAGCGAGTAGCTACGTTATCAGTAGCATCTAGAATCACATCGTAATGTTGTATAATCTCTAACGCATTGCTACTTTGAATCTGAAGCTTATACGGAGTAATTTTAATATTATCATTTAATCTGTAACAAAGTAATGTAATACTCTGCTTATTATTTATTTACATTATGTATATATTGCAAAATCCATGTAAATAATAATTCCTACAAGTCAAATCAGTAATTGGTTTTTGGAACCATCAAAAAAATTACTAACCAACTTTTGTTTGACAATATAAGGTTTCAAAATTATAAATTTAACGATACCTTTCAAGAATCTCTTTGGCAGCGATAACCTTAGATTTTCCAATATCCAGACTTGAAAATAGCAATTGTCTCTGCAGATTTGTAATTTCTATATCATCGTAATCCACGATACCTATGTGTCCCACTCCAGAGCCTGCCAAATACAATGCAGACGGACATCCAAGTCCTCCAACACCAACAACGAGAACCGAAGAGTTTTTTAATTTCAGCTGCCCTGTATTTATAGATTATTGTACGAGTATTCGAGAATGCATGTGATAACTTGTCAGTATAAATATATATCATAGGTATAATTAAAATAAAACTGAATGGCAGAATGTGATATTCTGTGGATTCGTGGGGAATTTTGAAAACTTTTTAATTTTTTTAAATATCAATGAAAATTTTTGGAGACTATTGCGAGCTATTGAATAACTTCGCACGGGTGAGAATGTCGCCAAGGGATAATTGTCCCGTGGCAATATAAGCGGTTAAATTACTTTGTATTGTTATTTCGATGTTTTGACAGGTTGATAGGAAAAATTTTGTTGCGCTACTCTTCAGCTCTTTACTTGCAGGCTTTCGTATGCGCACAAAAATAAAAGAAAAATTGAAAATCTATTTACCCTTAACTCCAATTTCCGGTAGAAGAATTTGCCTACTATATCTTGCAATTTCTCCATTATTTAATCCATGCCCCTGCAAAATTTGCTTTTCAAATCGGAGCTTAGCGAGGTTATCCTCCTTTTCTCGCAACTTTTCTTTTAAACTCGCTATTTCCTTTAAAAGATATTGTTCGTCCATGTTGGACAATTAAACAATAACTCGTATGAAAAATATCTCTCAAATATTCAACTACAAATGAAAATAAAAAAGAGAGAGAGAGAGAGAGAGAGAGAGAGAGAGAAAGGAATTCAAAGTTACATTTCAATTATCTTTGCTTACGTTATTACGAGGTACATTGTCGCGTGAACGGAGCAAAGTTCTATCGAAGGTGGATGGATGTCGCGCAAATTGCAATTGGTTTTGAAAATTTCAATCGGCATCATAATTTTTACTTTTACATCGAACATGAAAATATTCTATAAATGAACATCGGTTTTATTTCATAAAACCGGCTGATTCAATGGAATCATAATTTATCGTAAGATCGCGTAGACAATCGATTTTCATGTACGTTGCAATTACTTTGAAACGAAAAAATAAAAATAATGTACAAAAAAATTAAATAAAAACACCGTAATTAATAATAATAATTTATAACGAATCTAATAAGTATAACAACAACAACAACAACAACAACAACAACAACAACAACAATAACGATAACATTCAATGGCTCGATATTCATTCATAATGTAACTATTGCCGTTTTAATCGATAACAATAAATTAAGCGCATCTTTCTTTATTTTTCCACTTTTTTCTTTTTCCTTTATTATTTCAATAATTAAGCGAATGGAGAATCGACACAGACGCGTTGGTAGAAGATCGAGCACCATTTCATATTATCCTTGACAGTAAATTAAGCTTTCTATAACTTAAATATTTTTTCTCTTAACTTTGGTAATTGTATGAATGTAATGTAATGTAATGTAATGTAGCCATCCCCAGCCAACTTTCACAGTATTATTCGGAAACATCTCGAAGGGTACTCGGACCACAGCTTGCGATTACTGTCACTATCACGACGACAGTCAATCAGCGACAAACTAACAAAAGAAGCGTGACTAAATCAAGAAAAAAAATACTTCACGTTCGAAAAGCAAAGTACCCGCCAAATTACGTCTGCTTCAGCATTAATCGCGAACACTTCGTGGAAGCTTCGTTACCCACCGAGGCCGCTCTCGCGCTGCGATCAAAACTTTCCCGCCAAGACGACACCGAGACGTGGGACACGTATTTTGTAATCCAGAGAGGCCATTCGTTGTCGGGGCCTCGAGCTGGCCGATTAAAAAAAAAAACGGAGAAGAAGAAAGTTTAGGTAGTCGTCCCTTTAGCAGCCGCTTTCGCCGCCTCCGACGACCAAGATACATTGTTTGCGATTCTCCTCCTTCTCTCCTCCCTCTCGCGCCTCACGACAATCCGACTAACTACGGTCTCCCCCACCCATCCCTCTCCTTTCCCACCTCGTGCGTGCCAGCGCGGATTGCGCGACTCACTCGCACGCCAGCACCGCCTCTGGCAGTTCGCGTTATCACGGAATATCGTGAGTGCGCGTCTCTCTCGCCGCGTAATTATGCCCAAGCAGCTGATATTTCGGCTACGGCACCCGACGGCGACGCCGACGAGGACGACGCTGTCTCTCATCGTCGCGGCGCACCTCTGAGCGCGCCACTCGAGTGGCGGCCCCGTCGCGCTCGCTCGTTCCAGCATTGTCCCGCAGCTTTTCTCGTGGTCATCGTGGACAAGACAGCAGCTTGATTAATATAAAGAAGAAGAGGGCGGCGGGCGGACGCCGTGGACGGAAAGAGGACAGCAATAAAGGAGGAGGAGGAGGAGGAGGAGGAGGGGGAGGAGGAGGGGGGG